GGTGAAAAGTACAGCAGAAGAGAGAAGCAATTGGAGACGTGTAGTTGAAGCCCTATGTTCCACTAGGAATCCAAGGGAACAATAATAATATAATAATAAATTGGGAAGCAAGCGTCATGGAATCAGTCATATCACCAGTATACTCAAGAAAGAAAATTAACTTCGTTAGAATGAGGCAAGTTATGTTCCTTTTACTGAAGAATAACAAAATCTATACAGCATGTCTTCAGTTTTTTTACAAAGGCGAAACCAAAACACACCAACTTATCTAAATTAGGAGACAGGTTAACCCTTAGGCAGTGAAAAATATACAGAGGTGAAAAACAAAATAAGGTTGTTTTACACTAGGGAAAAATACATGGAGCTGCAGAACACGCTTTTTAAAAATAATCGAGACAGGGAGAGAGAGAGAGCGGGAAACAAATGAAGGAATTTCAGACTTTTCAAGTATTGGCTTTGTAGGGAATTTTGTTTGATTAGTTGGAGGATTTTATCATGAGCTGATATCAGTTATTTAGATAACCACTTGAAAACCAGCTGGGAGTACTGGACATCTGTTTCGTCAGCCTTGTTTGGAACTCTTCAGAATGTCCTGGGTTCGAACCCCAGACGTTGGGTGCGTACTGCTGAAGAGTCACAAACTAGGCTGCCGAAACAGGTATGCAGTACTCCCAGCTGGTTTTCCAATAGTTCTTTAAATGATGTCAGCTCGTGATGAATTCCTTGAACCAGTTAATAACAGCTTTATTCAAGGAATTATCTTTGCACACTACATGGAATTCTCAGTCTCATTTCTTGAAAAACATTTTTACTTCCCGTAAAGAGTCTTCAAGCAAAGTATTCATCCACAGCACATCGTATGGCTCAGTGTCTTTCTGTATGAAACGAGACTCAATCTCCAATGATAGCGTTTTCTTCATTTTCTTCTTGAAGTGCTCAGTGGTAGGCTGGAAGTTAACTGAAAATTTGGATGTATTCATGTTGCGATACAAGGGCATCATTATAAACTAAAGAAAATGAGAAGGAATCCGGACAACTCGCTAGGAAGATCCACCTACAGAAAACCCACATGGGACTGACAGTTTATTAACTTTCAAAGCTGTGTGCCTCTAAGCAGAAAGAGAAGCTTAATATACTCTCTTTCCTCGAGGATCCGGAAGATTTGCACTGAAGAGTCAATCTATGAAGAATTACAAAATCTCTGAGGGACATTGAAGGAAAATGGATTCCCACCCAGATTCATAGACAAGAATCTGAAACCAAGGAAAACACTTGAAAAGGTCCAAGTCGCCCCCAAAAAGATGCTGATACTGAACCTCGAATTTAAAAGTGATACCGAAGCAGAAATTCTCCATAGACGGCTTTCGAAGTCTCTCTCGCCGACACCCTACGAATAACATTCTCCTGCAATAAATTACTCACTCAACACATGAAAGACTAGCTGTCGCATTGGGCCACTGCAGCATGCATATACAAGTTCTCTTGCTCGTGTTGAGCTGAGTACATTAGCCGTCCCATGCGTCCGCTTGTAAAACGCGCCCGGGAACACTTTCCAGCATGTCCAGCGAAGGGAGAACAGTTAGATAAAAGAGCATCTGGTAAATTCTGGACATTCAGCCCAGTTTGAAAAGTCGTTCAAAGCTATATATAAGATCCGATCCAACCTACCAAAGGGAGTGAAATCAAGACATCTAGGAATAGCTGAGGCACTGGCGATCCAAAAACTCAAGCCTATTCTATGTGTCCAAAAGAAATACGTCCAACCGTTGTCCCTACCATGGCCATCATGAAAAGTCAGTCTCACCAATAATGATTATCCTATTACCTTTCTTGTCCAACCTTCCCGTTTATTTGTTATATTTACCTTTTAAATCCCTATCTGCATTATTAGATTTGGTTACTGTTTTTATTTTTATATGTCCGAACCTCCTACCCATTTCGTTAATACTACGTCCTTAACCCGTAATTATGCAAACTGACTAGTTTTCTAGTAATTATAATCCTATTTTGTCTTTTCTACCCGATCTTCCTGATTATTACACATTGTAATTTTTAATCTGACCTCTGAACGGAAATAATTCTGGAACATTCTCACACACATGTAATATAAATACACGAATGTACAGCTCTGTCCAGTTGATGACGTCGTCGAAAAGGAAATTTTCTTCGCTATAACTGTCTTTTTTATAATTCCTATGATTCAGTGTTTATATTTCGTGATTAAAAGGAGAAAAGTAGAGGTGTTATTCTTGACAGAAATCTAGGTGATCCCGGAGTTGAAACAGACTATCAAGTTAGATGATTATTTCAGATATGGAGGGCTCGGGAACTTCAATTCCTTTTGAAATAGTCACTGAAGACGTTGTCTAGAATAATATTAATAATTTTTGCTTTATTCCACAAACAATACTAATGATACAGCAAGGACTTTTCAGCATTCAGTACAATATTGCATCTAATTTACTCAAAAACGACAAAAAAACAAAATAAAAAATAAATATTACATAATAATAATAACAAAACATTGTTATGGCAGCTATGTAGCACATTACTGTATGCAATACGGAGAAAAATATGCATAAAGTATAAAATTATAGCAATAATAGTAATAACAACTAAAATAAAAATAGCAAAGTTATAATTAAACGATAGAAAGGGTGACACCATAAAATTACAGAAAGATGAACAATGAAAGGGTCGATTCACTTTGCTAATTACATAGTAACTTATATGTTTCACTTCTAACAGAGTCTTCATCACATAAAATACGGGCTAAATAGGGTATAGTAGAATTTTTGTACCTAGGGGTTCGAGCAAATAACTTTTTATATTGACTTCTCGTCCTACCTGATGAGATACAAGGGGATAATTGTGAATAAAGGGGGTGCAGAGGGTCTAACAGTACGGCCTTTACTGATTTTGTACAGGATTTCATATGTCACTAGACTATAATATTGGCGAGCTCACGCAGTGGCATACCACAAGCCCTACTCACATCATTTAATACCCTTCGTATTATGATATAATATTTTTTGAGAAGACCAGGAAAGATTAATGGAGAGCAATAGAGTACAACAGGTAAAATATAGGAGTTTAAAAATTACAGAAGTAAAGGTTGGTTGACACCTGATTGTCCTAACTTTTTAATGTAGAAGGTAAGACGAAACATTTTCTTAGAGATTGATAAGATGTGGGATGATCATGAAAGGTCAGAGGAAAGAACTAATCCAAGGTATTTAATGCTTGATTTGGTTTCAATTTCAGTGCCATCTATGCTACAGGCATCATGGGAACTAACTAGTTCATGTATGTCACGTCGATGCTTGAAATTAAAGTTAACTACCTGACATTTGGAAGGATTTGACAAAAGACCATTTGACTAAGACCACTTGTTGATGTCCAACAGAAAGCTTTTAAAGTTTGGAGCAGTCAGACTCGAAAGTGATAGGCAGTGAAAGTTAGGTAAACTAAATTTTCCAGATCATTGAATGTAATGACAGTAAAAAAATATTCACTAAAGTCACAAATCTCCATTAATGATGAGGCATCTTCTGAGAATTCATTCACATTTTCCCTCATATATGTATAAATACATATACTTAAATATTTATACTGCAGCGGGGAATAATTCCCCAATTTTGGATTTGTCCATTTGCTGTCGTTACTATATTTTAAGATAAATTACTTCTACGATATATGACCAGAAACCTAAAACTATACGTATTCAATTGACTTATTTTCCTATTCTGCTCGTTTCCTTTGGACTACGCAATTCAGAAACAGGGTCACTGCATGCTGTGCAAAACTTCCATGAACATAGGGTAATTGATCCATGTTCAGAATTTCTAGCAGCTGTACATGCTCTAGCAAAGGAATTGAGCAAGTGCGTTACGGAGCATATATGTTCACATTAGAAGCAGGTAATCCTTTCGAGACGCTTAAATCATCCATTTCAGTGGGAAACGATCTCTCAGATTGTCAACGTCTTGACAAAATCTTACACAATGTAGAGTTTGGAGATGCTCCTAACATATACTTAACTTCACGAATGCTTGAAGTCATCAGCAAACAGAGGTTCAATGAGGGAAAATTCGGAGAATTGCTTTTTTCGAAGTTATGACAGCCAGATATTCATGAAGATTACAAATGGCAATTGGCAGGAAGTCCAACCTGACCTAGGTTTTGTCCTAGTTGGAACTCACAAGTCACCAAGGCGTATCTGCAGTTACCTTGAAGGAATTTGTGTCCCTCCTTCTGAGATTCAAACTCCCGTCACTCAGTGTTGCAGTCAGAGAAGTCACCACTCAGCGATAGAATTCAGTCTCCACCAAACAGAGGGCTAGACACATTACATTAGTTACTAACTTTTGACCAATAAAAGTATCCAGTACAGGTTTACTGGAGGTCAATCACAAGCCTGTATAGCTCAGTGGTGACGCTTCCGACTTCAGCACTGAGTGATGCGGGTTTGAATCTCAGAAGGAGAGACATGAGTTCCTCCACGGTGATTGCAGATACGCCTTGTTGACTTGTGACTGCCAAATAGCACGAAACCTAGGTGAGGTTGCATCCAACCATCTAATATCAAATATTCGAAGTGTACGGTGATGGAAAGCCATCTAGATTGATGGCTACATTGGGAACGTGACTGATACAATTCACTCTGCACCAAAGAGAGGACTAGACAAACACACATTACACTAGTTGCTTACTCGTATCCAATCAGAAGATAACAGTTTTTTAAATATACAGAGTTTTATTATAATTATTATTCTCATATACAACGTTTTGCTCAGTGATAATATCAATAATAATAATAATAATAGCAATAATAATTTAAAACATCAGGAAGAAGAGGAGATAGAATTTGAAAACAACGGGTGAATAACGAAAAGAAATTATTGAACAATTGAACTTATTCATTAAAACAAGCAGTGCTGAGTGTTTTAAATTCTTCATCTTCTTATTTTCTTCGTTCAACGCTCTTTTTTTGAATTAAACGCCATTTCTTCTCTGTTGATCTACATTGTCATTTTCGAGAGAGGAAAAAATATGTTGAAACATTGAATAGAAATAATTATGCATACTGTACAATTAATTATGTATTATATTGAAAAAGGAAAAACAGAAAAAGAAAGAAATAAAGCGCGTAACTTTAATTTTGATTGATTCCACCATATTGTAATAATTGTTCTTTTAATAGGGATAATTCTTTACGATGAATTTCAACCAATGATCCCTGAATAAGCAAAAAAGAAGATGAACAGAATCAGAGAAAGTTAGACTGATGAGAAACTATTTTTAGAAAAGAAAAAAACAACAAACAAATAAACATTGTGAGGTCAAGTAAACTGGATTCATTTATTCATATACTCTAAATCAAAATGTATTCAGGAAAGTTAAATTATCAACTGAATTCATTTAGAGAATGAGTGTAAACCGGTATGTACTGGATGACTGTTTCGTCTTAGTTTGGGACTTTTCATCAGTGTGCACCAATGAACTTTAAGCTACAAGACTAGCTCACTGACCACTTCACCAGTACGACGGAGTTCAGTGGCCTGTCAGTACATAGCACAACAAAGACCAATGCTACAGACAAATATATTTCATCACAGCCAAATTGGTAAAAGCTCTGAAGGATATTTTATCTAAGAATGGATATCCTGAGAAGTTTATTAATAAATATTCTAAAGAAATGACCCCTTGCAAAACTATCCAAACAGTTCCAAAGAAATCCGCCTATATCAGTTTGCCATTCAAAGGAGATGATGTACAAGAAGTATAAGATGATAAAGCTATCAACAATCTCGGAAAGACCAGTACTCGCCAGTCATCGACACTTCAAACTGTCTATATCAATTTGAGTGTTTTTTTGGAAACAAATATTTAGGTTGTACAGAAAGGCGATTACCCACTCACATGATTGAGTATTCGCCAAAGTGGTTGAAAACAGCTGAATGCAAAGTGGCAAAAAACCTCAGTAACAAAACATCTTGTGAACTATGAACATGATATCGACGCTGTCAAGTCATTCACTGTTGTCAGCAGAAAGACAAAGAAACAGGAAGATGCTAGCAATTGCAGAGGCTTGTGCAATTCGAGTTTATAAACCAGGTCTCTGTGTACAAAAGGAAATGGTCATCACTCTGAATCTACCATGGTAGTACGTTTAACTCATTATTCTACCTCTTATTATTATTACTTTATATTTTATTATTGATTCATTTAAAACTATCTTTTATCAATAGCATTATTTTAACTCACTTCAGCATTATTAATTTTATTATTATCATAACTATTACTATTGATATCACTCTGTTTGCAATTCTGGATAATGGGAATAAAAAGACAGTCGCAGTGAAGAAAATTATCTTGTCAACGAGGTCACCACCAACTAGGCTGTACATTCGTGTATTTTTATAATAAACAGGTGGGAAAGTTCCAGAATAATTTCCGGTCAAGGGTCAAATTAGTAGAATTACAAATAGGAATTAGAATGCCATAATAAACAGGGGGTGAAGGATGGATAAAACTCAGACAAAGTAGCACCATAATTACTAAGATGATTGACATAATGTGCAATTAGGGGTTAGAAATGTAGAAATCAGAAAAAAATAGACAGGATGTTTGGATAAAAAAATCTAGTGGAATCATTACTAATGTGACGAATAATTGTTAATGCAATTAAGGATTAAATTTGTAGAGATAATAAAATGACAAGATATGCAGGAAGTTGTGTAAATAGGGACTAAGAAAAACTTAAAAATAACATGAATAAACAGGCAGTTTGGCTAAGAAAGGCAATGGGATAGTCACTATTAGAAGAATTACTTGTTTATGATGACCATGGTGGGGATAAAGGTTGAACGTATTTATTTTGAATACACAGCGTGCGTTTTAGCTTTTGGATGGCTAGTGCCTCGGCTATACGCAGATTTTTTAATTTGACTCCCTTTGATAGGTTTGATTGAAACTTGCATATTATTTTGAAGGATTTTTCGAATGGCGATGAATTTCCTGAATTGACTGGATGTTCTGTCACTGAACTATATACCCGTTTTCGTCCTTCTTTTACTAGTCAGGCTAGATATTGTTCACGAACTCGTTTTTCAAGTTGGTGCATGGTACGGCCTACGTACTCAGCTCCACAAGAGCAAGTAAACTGGTATATTAACGTTGAAGTGGCTCAATGTGACAGCTTGTCTTTCGCGTTCTGGCTGAACAGTTTCTTGCAGGAAAACGTTAGTCGTAGGCTGGCGGCAAATTATGTCTTCCTCAGAGATTGGCAGAGTCGTTTTCTAATTGCACAGTACGTCAATCTTCTCAGTAATTATGATGCTACTTTTTCTGAGCTTTATCCATACCCCTCTTTATTATGGCATTTTAATTCATAATTACAATTCTATTAATTTGACCCTTGATCGGAAGTTATTCTGGAACTTTCTCACCCATTTATTATAAATACACGAGTGTACAGCCTAGTTGGTCATGACTTCGTCGAAAAGAAAATTTTCTCCATCGCGACTGTCGTTTTATCCCCAATGATCAAATGTGTATATTCCCTAATTCTTGATATATTTTCTAATGACCAAAATGTTTATTTTAGTGATTCAGTTATAGCGCAATGCATTTGATCTTAATTTTAATCTCTCACACCCCCTCTCCCCTTATCTATTTGAACATGAACTGGAAAACATTCACACTCCTGTCATTCTGAATGATTAATTCAATGTAGTTTATTTGCTTATCAGTCTTATATCTCCCAATGTAATTTCAATAATAAATATATATCCCCCCATGTAGAGTATTCAGCTAGGGAGTTCTACTGAATTTCGATGAATCCATCATTAAATCCTACTTTATTAACCATATTTGTTACCTGTTTTAAATTGGAAAACCCTGCTGTCAACGACTTTCCAATAAAACTCGTGGTTAACTTCATTCTCTAGTCAGTTACTGGGGAATACTAGATTATTTTTCAAGCGTTATTTTACCGAGCTATGGTTGATATTAAGTGTGATCAGGGACTGACAGTTGCTTCGTCCTTTTTAGGGAATTTTCAGTATTGTATATATACCCATGAATTCACTAGAGATGGAATACAGGATCTCCAGGTTACAAGGTGAGTCAGCCACTTGGATTGGATTCAACAACAAATGCTGAAAAAACCTTAACTAAGATGAAACATTCGTTGAATAGTACGTGGTTTCCTACCTGGTTCTGTAAATAATATTTGTTCATGATCTAAACTGAACGTAATCAATTCGTCGTAAACCAGAACTTCAGAAAGTATATATGCATACAGTTTGTAAGTTCAGTTCAGTTAATATACAGATAGACTTTAGCTTATAAAAGAATTACGTACAGTCAGAGTTCGCATTTCATCCTTCACTTCATCAGGTGTCTAGAAAGAATTACCAACAAGGAGCTCTGATCGTGCTGCGAAGCAACCAACAACCTATAGCATAACAAATATACGGAAAGAAACCCAGATGGATTGGATATAAGCTGAAGAGAGCGTTAAGTGACATCATCCTCTAGGTTAGCCCTTAAATGGGACCCGAATGAGAAACGATGACTTGGATGTTGATTTGAAGGTGACGTGGTGGATATTAAGTGAGGAGTAGATGAAAGCTTATTAGCAATCGTGGAACCAGATAAAAGAGACTGGACAGAACCAAACGGAATGAAAATATGGTGCTGAAGCTTTGTTTTTTTTTCAACTCAGAACTTAATGGATATCTGCATATCTGTCATTATCATTCCCGCCTTGAAGAGTTTGAGATATCACTTGATGTTTCAGCATACAACTCTTTAATGAAGTGCGCCAGTTCAACTTGCCGCACTCCCTCACTATAGCGCAAAAGAGTGGAGAAAGTAAATCAGTAGAACTATGATGGGCGCAAATCCACAGGAAAAAGAATGATTACATGGAAAAACATGATGGAAGAAAATATATCCGCATCTCTGAGAATGATTTTAAGCTACATAGCCAAGAGTTTTAAGCCACTGGTTCTTGGCATCCTGGGGACAGCATTCAGACAGTGTACACCTTCATAAGTGACTGACTCAAGCCAATTGTCGAAGACTTCATGAACTCATGCCGGGTTGTTGGTCTGATCACCCCGATTTCTCCTTTTCAGTCTAATTCCAGATCAGGTAAAACTGCATGTCGAGGAAGGCGTCTGCTCAATATGCACTACACGTGTCCTAACCTCAATGTTAGTTGCCATTAACGTTTGAATGCAAACATCTTTGGTCAAGGACAGCTATCCTTTTCCTTTGTTCCACTTACAACAGCGATGGCTCACAGCCGTCGGTGGCATAGTGGTTAGGACTCTCGCCGACCATGCACATGGTCCGGGGTTCGATCCCCTGCCGATGCACACCTGATATCTATGGTCGGCCTGTGAAATTTGGGCTTCCGATATCCATGCTGAAAATTCCATGCTTGTACTGAAAATACGGTGTGGCATCAAGCTGTAACCAAAATAAAAATAAATAAAAAAAAAAGGGACAGAGAAAACTACTGCGTAATGTACACGGCGATTATCACGTCCTCGTCAAAGATGACGTAAGTTGGCCGAAAAATGACACACGAACCTTTTATATCCGTGCTGTGAATTTTTTAGCAACCAGTTCACTAAGACTGACGCAACTTCTCATATAAGTGCAGTGGTGAACACACTCTACGAATTCACTCCGTATTTTTTTAAGCAGGGAGTAACTAGTCTGGTAATCTTATTAATTTCAAAATCTTTCTGAGGTATATACTCTCAGAGAACAATTATTGGTAGCTAGCAATGGAAAACAGAATGTGTGTTTCGTCGAAACTGGGACTCGCCACTGCATGTCAGCTGAATGACGGGGTCCTCAGGTTAACTCGTACCCAACAGCCACAGCTTCAAATGCCAAAGCACTATTTGCAATTAGTAGTGTTCTCTGAGATGGCTGGTTTAGTTGTGGAGCTTTCGACGTCATTTTGGACAACATCTTTAGCGCACTTTTCAGTATAAAATGAATTGATTTAAATTTTCCATGAGTGATAGAATTGAGTCTCCCCTTAACAATTTTACATATGTATTGATCTTTTTTATTGACTCGGATTTAAAACTTTCTGGTCACATGATTTATTTTTTATCAGTTGGTATATTTGGTCTATATTATTATGTTTTTTAATCGCATATTCGTTTGAGTACCAGGCTTCTAGCAGTTCCCTGGCACTTTTGGTGTTGT